TCAAGAGGATTTGGATCTGCAGTACCAAGTATGATTTTTTTTTTTAAATGGGTATAATGACCAAGAATGCTTAACTGAGCAGCCAGTTTTTAATTCGAGTTTGTAACCAGCATATTGAGCCAAGAGGAATACCGAGGTAGGGCTAAATCAAGTGATACTTTTCCATCTTGATGTTGAAAGGAAGGTCAAAGAGAAAATGTCCTATAGTATAAGAAGTCAGTGTATGCTGCAGTAGTTAAAAGACAGATCTTAGTCGATTGCAGGACCCCCAAAATAGCTCCGTGAAGTCATGTCTTTGGCCCTTCTCCTAGACATGGCTTGTTTGCAATTGCAAGCTAATAGAACAGAAGTGGGGAGAGCCTGAACATTTCTAGCTCAGAGTTGTATTGCAGGCATCATCAAGATATAAAAAGACAACTGGAAGTAAGGGAGCAGAAAGCCCCAACATTTCCCCTTCACCATTTTAAAAATGAAATTGGTTAATTTCTCAGCAAATGTAGCTGAAGTCCAAGTAAAAATTGTGCCACTTGACATTTGACACAGTAACTTCCACTTGAGTTGACCAGGTTGTGGGGTTACCAAGATCTTTTGCTTGGAGAAAGAGCCTCCTTAGTTATTCTCCTCAGGAACTATGACATTGCTTCCATACAAGCTTGACTAGGGAGAGTCTCCACCTAAAAAAATCTCTTTGCACAGAAAGTAATGGCTGCCTCAGGGGTTTCTGCATCTTTGGGCTGGCCATCACCATTTCCTTAGGCTGTGTGCTGCTGGAGCACCACTGGTCATGGAAGGTCTTTTTCTCATTCCCACGGGCCACAGCAACATGGAACCCAGTGTTAAGTACAAACGACCTGCCTGCATAATTGTCTAGTTCACTGCAAAGTTGCTGCAAGTGTCATGGCGTCACTATCTCAGCCTAGTATACCTCTCAGGTTTGCTGCAGTCATAGTAAATAGTCCCACGTGTACTGCTGAGAGCTCCATAGAGGGAGGACAAAACTAGACATGTGGTAGATTACTGTATTTTTCGCACCATAAGACACACTTTTCCCCCACAAAACAGGGGGGTGGAAAGTCTGTGCGTCTTATGGAGCGAAGAAAACAGATTATATTTTCCTGTTTTCTTCTTCTAAAAAATGGTGCGTCTTATGGAAAGGTGCCTCTTATGGAGCGAAAAATACGGTACGTTACCTGGGTCGTTGTAGCAGCCATTGTGACACTTGTGTTCTCTGTACTTTTCCGTGAAACTGAAAAGTTAATATCAGAATGGTTTCAGGCAGCAGCAAATGAGTTCAGGGAGTAAATATAAAAAGTGGCCTGCATAGTACTGTTATCTCAAAATACATTCAGGACTGACAGTTAGTACTTGTAATTGATGTACTCCGTCGGCATCATGCGTTATGTGGGCCCCAATGTATAGTTCAACCACACTGCTTCTGTGGCTTCTCTGCATGCATGCATTGTGATGTTGGTGGGAAACGCCTGCTTCTTTGCCGCAGCCGGCCTCCATTTTTCTTGGTGATTCTGTGGCACTTTCTAGGCTACAAAGAGTTTGTGCAAAACTCTGTACAGGCTTCTCATGGTCCTGTGGGAACTGACATTAGTGCCAAAGTAACACTTGGTGCTTTGCACCTCTGTTATAGGGCAATACCTGTCGTGCTGAGCAAAATGGTATTTAGAATGGTTTCAGGCAGCAGCAAATGAGTTCAGGGAGTAAATATAAAAAGTGGCCTGCATAGTACTGTTATCTCAAAATACATTCAGGACTGACAGTTAGTACTTGTAATTGATGTACTCCGTCGGCATCATGCGTTATGTGGGCCCCAGTGTGTAGTTCAACCACACTTCTTCTGTGGCTTCTCTGCATGCATGCATTGTGATGTTGGTGGGAAATGCCTGTTTCTTTGCCGCAGCCGGCCTCCATTTTTCTTGGTGATTCTGTGGCACTTTCTAGGCTACAAAGATTTTGTGCAAAACTCTACAGGCTTCTCGTGGTCCTGTGGGAACTGACATTAGTGCCAAAGTAGCACTTGGTGCTTTGCACCTTTGTTACAAGGCAATACCTGTCTTGGTATTTTAGGGAAACTTGCCCAATATAATTGATTTATTCCATAAGGAAGCCTTGGCATTCTTTCAAGGATTCCCAAGGAAACCAAAGATTAGGATACAGTAGTTACCTTTTTTGAACTACAATGCCTATAAATCTACTGATCAGCCTACAGCCATGCTGGCTGGGAATTCTGAGAGCTGTTATCCAAAAGAAGTACCTTTTGCAAGCATTGATCCTGGGACAACCTGGGGGAACCCATTGTTCATGACATTACTGTTCCTTCACTAGTGCTTAGCAACAAAGAGCTCTCTGAGCCGTTTGCATTCTGGTTCTGACCCATTTCCCCCTCGCTTGAGAGTCATCTTTACAGGGGTGCGAACAGGCTATGAGATGTTTTTATTACCTGACTCATCCTGCCGTGATGGTAATGGCTTTATTTTTTTTTCCATCACTAGAGTTAAAAGGGTAATATGTGTATATCTGTACTATGAGGGATGTACAGCTTGAGAGTACCAGCGTTTGGGGATTGGGATGGGATGGGATGGGGAGTTGTGGCACTGCTTCAGTCACTGCCATATGTTCCTTGCCAAATGATATCCTCAAACTGTTAAGTGGACATCTGGATTCTTGTCTCCCATCACTCTAGAGAACACAGCAGTAGCACATCAATGAAAACATCTGTGAAGATTCTCAGTCATCCAGGTGTGGTTGTCTGGAAATTGAGTCATGGCAACTGGACTTCTTCCTTCTTAGATTGAAATGTTTCGCTACTTATCCAAGCACCCAAGTGACTGAAGAAGCTACTGTACTTGGATGAGTAGCAAAATGTTATAACCTAGCAAGAAAGAACTCCACTTGCCATGACTCAGCTTCCAGATCAATGAAAATACATTGTTTATTTATTTATTCAATTTTTCTACCACCTGAGACTATGCCCTGAAAAGCTTCTGTAAAGAGCATAGTCAACAGTTTCTGAACGGTTGGGAGGGAGGGGTCAGGCACATCTCAACTGGAAGCCCATTCTAAAGGGCCCGTGCCACAACTAAGAAGACACAATGTCTGGTGGAAGTCTTTCTGGCCTCACTTAGTGTGGCACTCTGTAGGAGCATGGTCTGTGAGGAGCTGGTGGCACAGGTGGATGTTCTCAAGGAAAGGCACTCCAATAGGTAACGAGGTCCCAAACCGTGGGAGAGAAGTGAAGACTTCTGTGTCCTTCCAGAGTGGCAACATTTTTCATCTAAAGCATGGTGAAGCATAGTAGTTCTCAATCAGTAGAAATGCGTAAGAAGTCATTTTCTTGTGTCCTGTGCATTACTTGTGAACTCAGCTTTTAAATGTGGATCCTTCTGTAGCTAAAAGGGCGTAAGTCACACACAGAAGAGGACAGTAGTAGCAGGTATAAGGAAACCTCAGAAGGACAAAATGTTTTTAAAGTATTCCTCAACCCTCCCCCAAAAGTCCCGAAAACACAGCAGAACTGGGGACATTAACTTGTGAACTCAGCTTTTAAATGTGGATCTTTCTGTAGCTAAAAGGGCATAAGTCACACACAGAAGAGGACAGTAGTGGCAGGTATAAGGAAACCTCAAAAGGACAAAATGTTTTTAAAATATTCCTCAACCCTCACCAAAAGTCCAGAAAACACAGCAGAACTGGGGACATTGACTGTACAAGGACCTTGTAGCATTACCTAATTAAAAAAAAAACAAAAAACAAAGCTTTTGTAACAAATTAGCTGAAATTGCGTAAAGGTATGTACACCACATAAAACTGATGATGCCACTGTGGTTATTCGGGAATTAAAAATCTCCACCACCACCCCAAAATCCCTGAAGCTGTGGGGATCCTTTTCTTAGTAGGGAAGCCATTGGGGGCTATTGGATTGGATGGGAGGGGGGAGCCTTTCATTTAAAAAAAATCACTACCATCAGGATAATTTCACCAGCAGAATGATTTTCAGATTTTAAAGACTTCCACCCTGTTTCATGACCCCCAGCTGCTTTTCCATGATGAAAGGGACCCCAAAGGAGCTTCAAGATCTGTGGAAGAGAGAGTTGGAAATTCTTAATTTCAGAAAAACTGCTATGGCAGATGTACTCGGTCATACGTGACAACAGCTCTGCTGTTGGATTTTAGCCTTCATGTTGTAACTGCTTGTTGAATGGCTTTGGCTGTAACTCCATAATTGTTGCAAGGCTTGTCTCCCCAAATGTAACTAGTTACAGATAGTTTCATTACCTGTAACTAGTTACCTCCAAGCCACCAGAGCGGAGAACTAAGGAGAATGTGAATGTATCAAGGTGTTCTGGTAAAAGTGTTGCCTCTCTGCTGACACTCAACAAGACCACTCCACGGTGTAAAATTTTGTGGCAGGTTCCATTTGCAGTCTTGTCATGGGGCCGAGGTGGGTGGACACCTTGATGTATTAAGGGGATCTATTTGTTGTAGGTGCCTTTGGGGATTTCCCTGTATTCACCTCCCTGCAGTCCCTCTGTTGCAAGCCATGATTTGCCCTTCTTTTACGTTAGGGGTGGGTAGGCGGGCAGGCAGGCACCTTGTTGTCCTCCAGATGTTGTTAGACCACAGATCTCCTTAGCATAGCTCACAGTGACTCATAGCTGTAGGCTCATAGCTGTACCTTCTTATCAGTGGAAAGCGATATCTGTGTGGCCAATGCTCGTCCCAAGTAAAGGAGACCAATGGAATCAATTGCTGAATGAGAAGGAAACACTTTTTGTCTTTCTTTTTGAATCAGTGGGTTGACTCTGTTTGGGATTAGCAATAGCATAGTGACCTGTGTGGGAATTTTTAGAACTTCATTTTGTCTTTCATTTCTCAGAGAGACGCCCCCCCCTCCCCATGTTTCTAAACAGATATGAATAGACTGATCTAGACATGACAGATTGATCATACTGTGTTTTGTGTGTGTTTTTTTTTTACCCCTTTACCAGGAATCCTGGCGCAGTGGGCCATGGCTGTTTCTGTTATGCTCTGCTACGTTCCATCCCAGTTACAGTCTACATCATCTTAGTTACTGGTTTCCGGTACCATCTCTTCATCTGGAGCGTCTTTTCACCAAAGCTTCTCTACGAAGGAGTGCATGTGTTCATCACAGCAGGCGTTTGTGCATTCTTCACGGCGATGGATCAGAACCATCTGCGTAAAGTCCAAGACCATTAGACAGAAGGTGGCATCATTTCCAGCAATGGACTGAATTCCTCTAGTGTGGAATGTGGATTTTTGCCTTTTGGATTGCACAGTGAACTTTAAAGATCAGTCTATTTTTAGCAAACATGTTTTATAGATCAGCTGTGTTGCAAAGAGGCCATCCTGAAGTACTGTTGCAGAGATAACAGGGGCGATCTCTCAATTAGAAGTCTGAGAACAGATTGTGAGAGCACAAACCCCTTTACTTTCCCAGCACCAGTTCTCATGATCCACCTTAAGCTTGGTCCAGCATTAGATCACTGTTGATCTTAACTGTAGTGAAGACTTCTTTCTTAGTTAGGATTCTTGATCAGCATCAGAAGCTACTTAAAGTCTAGGCCAAGGTGTGGCTTGGCTACCCTTACTTAAAACACATATCCACATGGACCATCTAACTATAGTTAAGGTAAACAGTGAAATTAGCTCTGGGGAGCAAAGAGAGAGCATCCCGCATCTGATTGCAATTGAGAGATCACCTCTCTTGCATCTGCAGCAGCCCCAGCTGGATCTGGCTCTGAATATTGGAATGGCAGAAGTCCTAAAGCCTCTTTGCTTTTTTTTTTTACTCCCTCATGTAATTTGTTATTCCACATCCAATAGAAATTTGACAGCCTCTAATTGATTTGGGATGGCGGGCATGTCTCTCTGTCACCAGGGTTGTATCTCCTGACGTTTTATTTCACTGTGGTTCCTCATTTCTCATTTCCTAAATGTGGTGTCTCTTTAGTGACTGAAACGTTACATCACCAGCAAATCTTTTGGAAGACAAATTTGTGGTCCTTCCTCAAAAGGCGAGAGTTGTGACTTAGCACCCCTTGTTTTTTCTTTACTTTTCATGGTACAACAGGAGGGGAAAAATCAGAAGAGGAACAGTAAGTCCACATACAGAACCAACATGTTGGTTTAACCTTTTAAAAAGTATTCTGAGCATGTGAGGCAGCAGCGTTCCCACAGTATCTATTTGAACTGATTCATATAAAATAGAGAAGTGCTATTTTCTCATGTGGAGAAAGGGTGTTATTTTCAGTCCTACCCCTGTCAACACCTCTGTTCCCTGTATTGTTCCCTTCAGAGCCACTTTACGTTGCAGTGCTTTCCGAAGCCTGTGGTTTAGCTTGGGGAAAGGTGTAGGGCAAGAACAATACCCCTCATGGTTCCAGAAGCAGAGGCTAGTTTTGGTGAGATCGTGTCTCCAAAACAATTCCTTGTTCTGAGAATTAAATAGGAAGAACTAATTAGAAATGCATCCTCTCTTCCCATCGCAAAACCAAGGCCCCTCAGGGTTAGGGTGAGTGAACAGTGCATTTGTAAGAAGCCAGTCCCAAAACAATTCAGTTTATTTATTTATTTATTATATTTTAAAAACTGCCCTATAAAGAACAGGTACTCTCAAGGTGGTGTACAAATAGCCAGGATATTATATAACAACAACAAAATTGACAGATAAATGTATTAATAATCAACAAATAACAACAAAACATAATAATAAAAACATCTGGCATATCTTCTGTTAAAGGAAGACAGTTAAATTAAAATTAACCTCAAACTAGCCCTAGCCTCCTAAACTTGACTAACACAGCTCTGTACAACCAGATCGTGTCTACATCTGAAAGGCAATATAATCCTGCTATAATCCAGATAATGGATAGCCAGGCTTGTCAGACTTTTCAGATTATTAGTATTTTCCAGCCGGTTTATCCAACTGAAGAGCCTTTAACCCAAAGGTGGAATGGCCACAGCAATATACTAGTACAGGACCCAATTTAAGACTTAACTATCCTGTCTCATCTTGGTACATTTCCACCCTCCATTTCTTTTGAAACACTGTGAACATAGTCTAACTAGATGTTGTCAGTGGGAGGTTATGGACACGTATGAATGTAACTTACAGAGTTTCCTGTAGCTTGATTTGATTATTTTGTTTCTGCAAATAGCAGTCAAAACATATTAAAGCTCTGGCAGAAATAAGCATTTGTCACATCTGAAAAAGTAGATGGGATTCCTTATGAGCATTCATGGAATGCTTTGGAAGTAAAAAGCCTCTAATTCCACTATTTTTGACAGCTGAATCTTGGCATAGGAATGTTATGTATTACATATGTAATTATATAAATTACCTTCCTGTTGGAGAATGTCAGTACACTTGCAACTGACAACAAGCTTTGTGTAAAATAAGAAATACAGCGTCTATGTTTTTTAAAAAGGATTATATTTGTATGCTCTTTCTGGTAACTGGTATTCTCCTGAGTGAGATCTTATTTTCCTCTATGGACCCGGTGAGGTGCCATTTTTCCCTGTGACTCCCTTCAGTGAGGGGCAAGTGGGAGCTGGCAAAGAGCGCTCCCTTGAGGAATCATAACTCCTACTGTATTCATTGGTCTGTCTCATCTGGGAATGGACAGGAAGAGACAGCTGGTACCTAAACACAAGACCCTGGCTCACACTTCATGTCCTGTGTTGTGCTGTCCATGAAGTTGATGGGGAGAAGAATCAAAACTAGTTAACTCGTTAACTGGATTTATTTGCATGTAGTGTTGAAGCACATCTGATATAATTTGGGCTTTGTTTATGTTGTACAAAAATGTGTCATTTGTACATGCCTTGTTGCAAGGGTGGCTACCTAAAGCTTTCCAGATGTTGTCGGGCTCCCAGTTTCCACAGGACTTTATCATCAGCCATCTGGGTTCAGAGTTCTGGGAATTGAAATCCAGAACATCTGGAGTGCCAGAGGTTCCCCACCCCTGTCTTATTGGGATATACTTGTTTCTCCTGAATAGTTGAAGGCAAATGCATTCAGCACTTGTGATTTACAGGGCCTTTTCATCTATAAAGATATGAAGAAGGAATCCAAAAAAGGCTAACAGTGGCATTTCCAGCCATACAACTCATATTTTTAAAGGACTCCGTTTGGGCAGAAATCCTGTTGCTTAGCATAGATAAAGGTAGAATTTGCCCTTGACATTTAGTCCAGTCGTGTCCGACTCTAGGGCACGGTGCTCATCCCCATTTCCAAGCCGTAGAGCCAGCGTTTTTGTCCAAAGATAGTTTCCATGGTCACGTGGCCAGCACGAACTAGACATGGAACACCGTTACCTTCCCACCAAGGTGGTACCTATTTATCTACTCGCATTTACATGCTTTCGAACTGCTAGGTCGGCGGGAGCTGGGACAAGCGACGGGAGCTCACTCATTGCGTGGATTCGATCTTACGACTGCTTGGTCTTCTGACCTTGCAGCACAGAGGCTTCTGCAGTTTAACCTGCAGCGCCACCACGCCCCTGATCTTTGCTTAGCATAATAGGTCACAACTAGAGTAGACCCATTACAACAGGGTGGATTTGGTGAGTCAGCTCCTTCCTAAATTGCATTGATTCAGTGAGCCTGCCGTAGTTGTGACTCATCCTGTTAAGCACCAGGATTTTAGCTTTTGATTAATTATTTGCCTGTTATTAAAAGCGAATAGAATGCTATGTAGCAGCTTTAGGTTTGGAGTTTGTTTTTTAAACTATGATTGTTGAGACTGTGGCATAAAATGTGAGACATTTTACTCCAATTGCTTCTAAAAAGGCCCCTTAGAAATAGCAAGAAAAGGCCATTAGAAACCACTGCCTCTACACAAGTTTTTTAAAAATGTTATTTCGGCTTGTTGTGTAGCGTAGTGATCCCCTTGTTTTCCCTACATATGCATATGTTACTTTTACCTCTTTACTTCCAAATTTAGGTAGGGAGGCGGTCATGTTTGTTTCCAAGTTTCCATGTAGAGATTTAGTGAGTACAACCACAAGGCCCATGTGGCTTTCCCCTGACTTTTATTCCTCTATATGTTGCTGCACATCAGTGTGCACAACATTTTGGAAGTAGTGCTCTTGAGTAAATGACTGTTTGACTCTTGTTTTAAGAAGCAGAAAATATATTTAGGAAAAACATTGAATTGTGCCCATTGCAAGTAACTCCTGGGTTTATTCACATAATCTTTCTCCATTGTATATATGTTAATATTTTGCATAGCACATCAGGGTTTGTTTGTCTTTGTGTGTTTCTAAAGGATTTTTTTTTTTATAGATGGACATCTTTGTATTTTTGCAGTTTTTGTTTGAGTTGTTTGAAGAGTCTCTTGAAGCCAAGCTAGATAAGGTGTGGGAGGTACAATCATGAATCTCCTACGATTTCTCCCTTTTCCTTCATTATAATGTTGCTCTTGAATTGGACTGGGGCCATGCATCCATAACCATATTTTTATGTGATGTAAATCAGGAAAATGACTCAGGCATGGGGAGGGTTAAATTCCTTATCCCTTGTGCCAAAGCCCATTCTAGTCATTGGAGTCTAACCCCAGAGCTCCTATATCAGATCTAGCTTGGCTTCTAATGTTTTAGAAAATGTTGAATCAAATATAAATTCTGTTTACACTTGCCCTTCATAATCTCATTTTAAAATGAATCTGTGATCAACCATCAGAAATGATGACCCACTTGATGATGGCACATTGTGTCCAATGGGAAACTACTTTCTACAGATCAGAACAATCAATTGTTTGCAGCATTGGCTTGTAGAAAGAGCAAAACTGGGTTTCCTGTTTCGGATGTCATGAGAAACTGTGGTTTGACAAATCAGGAATTCTTACATTAAGCTGGCGAAATGAAGGAAGGAAGAGACTCAGGAGCACATCACACATCCTCAGTCCCAACTAGGAATGGGATGTGTCATCTAGGACACTGAGTTAAAGCCTGCCTTTCTGTTCGAAAGAATGAAACAGGAGCAATAATATCTGCATGTTGAGTTCATGCATTTATATGCATGGAGCAAGAAGTCATGTATTGCAGTCGTGTAGCTATAAGTCAACCAAAGAATGCATCTCTTTTTGATTTCCATGAAGAATTCTTGGTCCATAACTCTCAGCCTTCACTCCTGCAAGTTTTGAGTATACTGATATGTTAGGTGCGCCAAACGTGATTCCTTCCTTTCTTCGTTGCACTTCTTTAAACCACCGTGAGGTCAGTGGTGCCAATGGAATGTGTGTTGGATTGAGCTTCTAGATTCTATGCAGGCTCTGTCTAGTTGCAAATCAGTATGTTTTTATTCTTACAGAAACCAATTCGTTTCCCTCCTTGTTCCGGAAAGGCATGAGTTTAAAAATTGGAAGTGTGATTTTCTATTTGTGGTTTTAAATTGTCTACCTGTCCCTTCCAACTCATTCACCACCACTGACTGCCTTTTAAATTATTTGGCTTAAAACCACTTGCTTCTCTATTCCTCCCAATCTGGAAGAGTCACCCTAAGACGCCTTTGCAATATTTCCTTCATGTTGCTGCCTGGAGGAAAAGAACTTCTTGGGCCTGAAATACTATTTTTCTTTAGTGTTTGGAGTTACCTCCATGTCTTTTCCTCTTTCCACGTGTAGTCCTCCCATATTTTTTTATCCAGCATAGGGGGAAGATTTCTGTGACATGCCATATTTTTCCTGCAACTTACATTTGAGTTTATAGGTGGGTTTGAACATGTTTATAAATAATCTGGTGAGAAAGGCCAGATTGGTTGTTATGGGTTTTTCGGGCTCTTTGGCCGTGTTCTGAAGGTTGTTCTTCCTAACATTTCACCAGTCTCTGTGGCTGGCATCTTCAGAGGACAGGAATAGGCCAGATTACTCATAAACCTGTTTGAACCTGCTTATGGGTTCAAATGTAAGTTGCAGAGAAAATGTGAAATGTCATAGAAATCCTCTCCCTGCCTTTTCAGCAGAACAAAGAGAGACAAATTCCTTCTTCCTCATCCAACTCCTCTGTTCCCTCAGCTTCTGCTCCAAATATTTGGAGATCCCTTCAAAGCAGAACCCTGGGTATTATGGAGAACTTGAGGGAAAGGAGAAACACCTGCTGAAGGAGGGGAGGAAACCTGGGCCTCCCCAAGTTCACAGGGACTCATGTTTTGCAGCCTAGCGGCAAGAGCATGGCCAGTGAAGTTCCTCTCTTCCTCTACATGGTCAGGTCTTACCATTCTTTGTGGCTGCATCAGCTCTTGGCTAGCCCATGCTTTAGCAGCTTGTTAAGCAGCTTGTTAGGCTGGCTGGAGGTAAACACTTTCTTACTAGGTATAAATTCCCTCACCCATCCCTTTAAGAACTTGGTTGATGATGGGCCAGCCTCCTTCGGGTGCTACACAGCATAGAGACTAAAGGGCTGAAGGTGCAGACTCTGTGCATTTGATTGATAATTTACTACCTTGTCACAATCCAGGGAACAGTACATGGAAGTGGACTGTTGTATAGATAGGAACACATCCAGTTTTGGAGATGGGGCAGGCTGGCCCACTCATATTGGGTCAGGAGTCCCAGAAGGGATCTTGTGGCTGAATGCAAGCAGAAAGACTCTAATTCAGGAGAGGTGATCTGGACTTCACCAACAGATAACAGTGGGACCTACGTCATGGTCTTGCATTCAGAGGGAACCCGTTTCCTTGCCATTCTGTCACATACCCAGCAGAAGGGCTGGGTACACACATCAGTCAGTGTGGCACTGATGCTGTTGTCTGCTGTAACCAATAAAAGCTGTGGCCATTGATTATTTGTTTTTTCAACAAAGTTTGTGTGCTGTGTCTTCATTTAAGGGGGTTGGAGGCTGAGCCCCTCAGCATGCTGGCTAGATCACCAGTTGCCCTTCTTGGCTCCTTTAATGTAACAGTTGCCTGTCATTGGATGGTACCCGGTTTTGACTAGGCCACTGTTTTCTGATAGACATTGCTAGAAAATCCTCCATTGAGGTGCATCTTCGCCACTTTGCCAACCAAAGAGGCAGATTTCAACTGAAAGGCAATTTCTGTAGCTTGTCAAACTTTCCATTTACCAGAAATGGCTTGGCCTCCAAAGCTGGAAATGAGATAAGATACAGGACAGCATAGTTCTTCTCTTTCAAATGAACGCATAACAGGCTCTTTCTCTGCACCTACAAAAATGCCTTGGGCATAGAGATACAAATACATGCGTGCAAAAAATGTAAGGTCACATTCAAGTCATGGAGAAAGGCTGTACCAAGACTTAGGAAAAATTTCATTTTTGGATTACTATGGCCAGAATTTCTTAACCAACACGGCTGCTGAAGAGACAGTCCAAAAATCCTGGGATTAAAAGAGGTCATAGTTAAAAAGTAGCATTTCCAAACTGGCTTGAACACTTGATTCCTTTTGGTCTCCAAATAAGCCCAGTGCAGAGATAATCAGTTAGCATTAAGTATGCTAGCATTGCTTCATATTACAGTAATGGTAGGTCTGATACAGGCCTGAAATGTGCTGGGAGACCATCTTTAGTGTCTCAAACTAATCTTTTGACCCTAAAGGTGTTGACAGCTGCTTCTCACATTTCAAAATAGGCGGGCAGGGAAATGGCTTGTCAGGCTGCGACATTCAGAGGTCCATTCCTGACCACCGCCATTATGTTTGTTTTGCAGAAATTAAACTTTTAAAAGAAATTAAACCCATGAACTTTTTGTGAGCATAGGGAGCAGTTTTGATTTGTATTTTAGTTGCGTCTTAAGTGAATTTCAGTTTTGAAAAAGCCCACGCCATCTAAAATCAATCAGTTTCCACCACCTGCTGGGAGGCCAGAAATGCCCACATGCTACATAGAGAGCATGAGGACACTTGAAATTAGGGAGAGGCTCATGGGACCCCCTGAACCATCCTTTGCCCACCCCTGGTATAGAAGCACTACTTGGACCATACCTTGGCAACACACTTTCATATTGTCCTTGATGCCCGTGTTTTAACCATGGTTAAGACATTCAGGCATAGGCATAACAATAGCAGTTAAGGTATGAACAGTGAGAACATTTCCAGATGATTTTGTTCCCCATTCCAATTCTAGACTCTTCAGCACCCTAACCGATGACTAACCCTCTGAAATAGAAAGCAATGTGCTATATATGTAGATGCATCTGGCGTGCGGATGTGATTTTTAGAATGAACATAAGCAGTTTTCCTGCAACAGAAG